CACACACACACACACACACACACACACACTAATGCACTCAGGTTATCTTGTTGGTGACTGATGCTTGTCTGACTACATGATGAGTGTGGAGCAGGCCAGAGGTCCAGGGGGCATCACTATATTTCCTCAAGGTTGACGCAGTGGCATTTGACAGGCTGTCTTGACCACCCCCAGCCCCCTTCCCCCCCCCTTCAGTCCCAGCGCTAATCGGATCCCAGCCAGTCAAGGCTGCCGATCCCCCTGGGCACAACAGCAGTGCTGGGGTCTGATGATGGATTTCATGCATGATTATGTAAGAGTGCAGAACCTGAGCAGCACTATCAGCTGGGAGATAATTATCTTTCATTGTATGTTATAATGTGCAAGCTGTTTGTTTGTGTGATGTGTTGATGTTTCTGGGTTCACCTTGGCGTGTGCCATCATACGCTGCCCTTCACATACGCCAACTGTCGTGGTTGTGTTATCTGTACCAAAAGTCCGGCATCCTCTTTCTCTTTGATAAAGCACATGGATGTTTCACACTGAGATAAGATACAAGACCTGGACCCCGACCACAGAGCAACCACTGCTTTGATGAAAGAAAAACAAGTGAAGAGAAGCCTCACTTCAGTCATAAGAAGGGGAAAAGTCCTCTTTAGGATACTTTGTATCAGAACAGATTGAAATAAATTTAATTATTAAAATGTACAAAAAGCAGTCCAAAGATTTCACCATGTTATTTTTTACTACACAAAACAAAGACCACCCCTTCTGCTTCCACGAGATTTCAAAACCAGCCAGGTGCTGCTGATCAAATAGATTGAATACTGATCATCATCAGCATTACATCAATACTGGTGCTATTTGATTCTGAGTACAGTTTCAGACACCATGCATCAGTGTCACATAAATAGCATTTGTCATTTGAAAAACAGCAAGAGTTTGATTGGAAGGTTATAACAGTATAGAGAGTATAACTGAGTATAGAAAGGGTATGACTCAAAGCATTGAATAACACTTAGTTTATCTGTAATATTTTGTTAGTTTTACAAGGATTCAACAGTTTTATATGTAATTATTCTAATTACTGTATATGTTCAAATTTTGTCTATTTTAATTTTTCAGATATATCACATTTTTGTTTTATTCAAACTTATCTTTTCTTTCTCTTTCATTTTTTGTGTCTTTTGTTCTGTTCACTTTATTTATGTAGTGCCAAGTCACAACAAAAATTGTTGCAGGGCGTTGTACAAACAAACAAACAAACAAACAAACAAATGAAGCCAGCAGATTGTGTTGAATCTTCACTTC